ATAAAAGCATTATTACAGTATAAAATTTACGCTGCTTTAAGTATAGCAATGTTCCAATTGATGCAAACGACAGGCTCTTGGAAAATTCTAGTAAATAATTTATTTTCTAATAGACCCCATACTTGGAGTTTTTCAGTATCAAATTTCAGGAACGCCGACACTCGCTTTCTAATCGCCGATAATTCATTTCGACTTCAGAACTCACTGGATGCTACAACGTCTTTTACTCTTTGTAGAAAAGCAGATTTGTTTAAGTATTCAAATACAATCCGGAAAACTGTGGCTGCCTGCCCACAATGTATTCAGCGCTCCAAGAAAGGTCACCCGGTGTGAGCATCTGACTGCGACCCAACTCGATCACTAAAACAATTCAGTTAAATGGTAATTTAATGCTTACGAAAGGTTCTAATCTTATAGAACATTACCCGAGAAACAGCCTAAGACGAAAAATGCTTCAGATTCAGGCCTGATAACGGAACTCTTGCAATGTCGAACCTTCCGGTCGTGTACTCTGTCAACTATTTCCAGCGTAGCATCTTTCTACAGTGTTTCAACAGCAACTAATCTTTGTCATAATTCTGTGGCAAAATGCTTTTTCTTAAGTGTTCAGTGGTTGTCTTATTGCTTAATCACCAAATAACGCGAATTTTTCCAACAAAACCAGCATTTTTCAACGCCGCAACCCAATCGCGTTGCATTCAGGCCCATATAAACTCTTCTTAGAGAGCATTGCAGCAGTGGAAACCTTTTATTCCCTTAGATAGATATGCTTTATATTAAATGCACAAGTTTCGTGAGTTATTATGCATTTAACCCGTTTTTACAGAGCTTTTTTCAAGCGCCACTCAACACAGCGTCAGGCAATTTAGATCCGCGCCAGGATCGACGCCGCTGGGGGCGCAAAGGGGGAACCCAGCGTGGTAGATAAGCCGCAGCGACGGGCGGCCGCCAGCTCGTTGTTCGCACTCGTCTGATCACTATGTCAGCCGCTGCGCCTGGTTCGTCCCCCAAGGTTGCGAAGGCTTCCAAGCCAAAAGCAGCCAAGAAGGCTCCGTCTCATCCAACCTACTCCGCCATGATCCGCAGGGCGGTCTCCGAGTTGAAGGATAAATCAGGATCATCGAAGGCTGCTATTCTGAAGTTCATACTGTCGCACTACAAGCTTGGTGACAATGTAACTAAGGTGAATTTACTATCAGTCTTGGCAAGGGGTTTTATTTTAACTCTAAAGTGTGGTTTGTTGCAGATCAACTCTCAACTCCGCATCGCACTCAAGAAGGCTGTCGCGAAAGGTGAACTGAAACAAGTTAAAGGGAGCGGAGCATCTGGGAGCTTCAGGCTTGGTGAGAAATCTGGAGCAGGGGCCAAGAAGGTAAGTGGTTGGCGTTCCGAAAATTTTGTTCCGCGTTTTTTGGGTAGTATAGTAGTAGGATACCTGGTTTTCAGCATGTTGGCAAGAAACCGGCCGCCAAAAAGCACAAGTCCTCCGAAGCTGCGACGAAGAAACCCAAAGCGGAAAAGAAGGCCAAGAGCCCGAAGAAGGCCAAAGCTCCTAAAGCTAAGACTGCCAAGAAGCCTGTCAACAAAGCTGCCAAGCCGAAAGCCAAGAAAGCTAAGGTGTCCGGCTCTAAGGCTAAGAAAGTTAAGGCGTAGATTCGTCGCCATGTAAGCCTTAATCTTCCAGAGATCTCATGTATATAGTTGTATTTTTTACGCGCTTGAATAAATAGATACCGTCTTGAAGTTTGCAATAGTGTTGCTGGATGGTCGAGTACCGCCATGGTATGTTGTTGGGGCTGAGTAATTTCTAGGTCGAGTAGGCTCTAACAATTCAGAATAGTTGTGTTCAACTAGAAAGTGCACCTCTTGGGGAAGCTTAGCGCTGCTTGAGACTAGGTTTAAACAGCAACATATAGGGTTTGATATGGCGAGTCAAGTCAATGAACACGAGCTTTGAAGACGAAGATGGCCCATCTTTTTATGTGTGACTGCGGGTAGATCCTGCACTGACTCAAATTTCTCTCGTGCCTTTCTATTCCTATCGGTTAGTTCGGGACTTAGTTGCTTCCCTTTTTTTCATCATCCATGCGGGACTATTTGTAAATAGTTAAAAACTTTTTTGCTGAAACTGAGAAAGATAAATATGCATAGTGGGCATGATGACGATGGGCTGGCCACTCTAACTGGATTGTTCAGGATAGAGAATAGTTTGGCAGAACTTCGGGCAAGGAAACAACAATGACATCGCGAATTTTTGATTGTGACTTGCCCACCTTGAAATTATCACTGCTAGGTTCCCAATCCCTACTGCCATTCCTCATGTGGTAACCTAAGCGGTACACTCGGTGTCTGCGACAAATGATGCCGTAGTGATAGCCCTCACTTGGTTTCGGCGTACGAGATACATTTGTATCAAGTACATTTGGGACTTAGTAAGAAAGATAGGACCACAGAAATACTGTACACCTTTGGGTTGCACGCATTACTGCTAACAGGAAGCTGAGGACGTAGATGCATCTGTATCAAACAAACTTTTGAAGACAAAGTCATAATGTCCAAGTAGGTATTTAACAGAGCTCGTAGACAAACTGAGAAGTGATAGATGATTCGCACCTTCGGTCAATGGTCAATTAGCAGGAGAAAGCCCCTTTAACACCGACAACTCTCCATAGCCAGTTTTCGTCGGTTCGCCAATTCGGCGGTTCTCTCCCACTTATACTGCTTAGCCAGATATTGACCGGTGACTGTGCATATTTCCTTTCTCAATGTGGTTCCTTCTAACACACCACGAATAATGGACGGTAGGTGAGTATTTAGTTTACAATCTTATAGAGGAATAGTAGTTGATTGCTCACTTCAAAATTTTGTTAGAGAAGAGATAATAACAAACAAAAGTCCTCATTTTGATGAACGAGATCAGAGGAAACGGTTCACGTGAAATGCTGTAGTATCTCGCAAGAAGAAGAAGAAGAAGAGATGATTTTGACTATCGTGTTTCACCAGGGATGTTTACTTAAAACTCTTCTACGAGGAAAGAACATGTCAGTGAAAACTCCCCATTTTGAGGAACGATGAGATCATGGAAAACGCTACGCATGGATTACTTTAATATCATGTGAATATAGGAAAGTTGGTGTTGACAGTGTTGTTTTATCAAAGGTATTTACCTAAAACTTTTCTAAGAGAAAACAACGTAACAAAGAAAATGACACATTTCAAAAACGTAAAGATCAAGACAATTTCCAGAAGATCACTGTTATATCGTGCAAATACTGAACAGTTGATTTTTATAATTTTTGTTTAAGAGGGCTGCTAAGTTAAATAGTATAATAAGATAATCGAAGTTCTCGAAACCTAAGAAAGAAGCCTTCAGATGGAAAACAGCCTTATAAAATAGAAACGTAACTAAGCTCGTGGCTTCCTCGGAAGTTTTCGAGCGAATGAGACGAAAATACACAGTGAAGAAAGGCTTATAGAAAAATTCTCAAAGACAGTACAAAAGATCTTGGTAAGACAAGTTTACTTGTCACCCACGCCCACGTGACCAGGCGGATTGCGGTGTTGCGAAACGCCCTTTGTTGACACCAAACCACGACAATATCCAAGCAGGACAAGTAGCTTTACTATTGCATGGATATTCGTGAATTCATTTTGACAACGTCACCTTAGCAGTGCTATTCAACAAAACACTTGTAAGAGAAGAGAGCTCTGTGGTGAAAATTCTCCATTATGAAAAATCACGGTAACAGTTCTAGACAGATTAATTTAGCTCTGTGTGAATAATGGAAAGCTGACTTTGCCTATGTCGGATTAGCAAGTCTATTTAGTTGAAACAAGAGATATTGGATATTCTTGTAGGATAGTGACGATAAGATGGAAAATCGCCTTATAGAAATAGAACACACAAAATTCTTGGGTTATTCAAAAGTTTTCAAGAGAATCAGACAGTAACATCTAGCAGAAAAAGCTAAAGATAAGAGGGAAAGAAGAAAGTATAAAGAATAAGAAATATGCCTCGCCCATAACTACCCGTAAGACATGTCGTCCAATGCACCAGGTATGGAAGTAGATAAGATAGAAAATTTATCGATTATCTGTTTGTAGAAATTATAGTAGCAATCTAAACTCTTCTTCAAGTTCTCAAAGTGCCTAACACCAAGGTTTAAACGTTAACACTTTGTTTAGATTTCATTTTAGTATAGTGTCTAAGGCAACTGGAATCTTTTCACACTTACTGTTGGACCCAATGATACCCCAGCTTTGTAGTATCCATGCATGTACCAGAGGCCATAGCTCAAGCATTAAGAATTCCACTCAATAAATTGAACCTAAAGTCGCAAATTTCCCGACTAGGCGGTTGAGAACTCTTTGCTTGACTGCAAAAAATCGTAATGAGAACGCAGCAAGCTCCTCTTCGACACATCGGAGCCTACAATCACCCCAGGAAAAACCACTTACGCAATAGCCGAATCGGCCCACATCCGTGGATAGCAGCTACTACAAAACGGCAAAATTGTAACAAAAACGGTGAAGCGTGTCGTCTGACCTATTCACAAATAGTCCCGCAAGGATGATGAAGAAAAGAGAAGCAACTAAGTCCCGAACTAACCGATAGGAATAGAAAGGCACGAGAGAAATTTGAGTCAGTGCGGGATCTACCCGCAGTCACACATAAAAAGATGGGCCATCTTCGTCTTCAAAGCTCGTGTTCATTGACTTGACTCGCCATATCAAACCCTATACATTGCTGTTTAAACCTAGTCTTAAGCAGCACTAAGCTTCCCCAAGAGGTGCACTTTCTAGTTGAACACAACTATTCTGAATTGTTAGAGCCTACTCGACCTAGAAATTACTCAGCCCCAACAACATACCATGGCGGTACTCGACCATCCAGCAACACTATTGCAAACTTCAAGACGGTATCTATTTATTCAAGCGCGTAAAAAATACAACTATATACATGAGATCTCTGGAAGATTAAGGCTTACATGGCGACGAATCTACGCCTTAACCTTCTTAGCCTTAGAGCCGGACACCTTAGCTTTCTTGGCTTTCGGCTTGGCAGCTTTGTTGACAGGCTTCTTGGCAGTCTTAGCTTTAGGAGCTTTGGCCTTCTTCGGGCTCTTGGCCTTCTTTTCCGCTTTGGGTTTCTTCGTCGCAGCTTCGGAGGACTTGTGCTTTTTGGCGGCCGGTTTCTTGCCAACATGCTGAAAACCAGGTATCCTACTACTATACTACCCAAAAAACGCGGAACAAAATTTTCGGAGCGCCAACCACTTACCTTCTTGGCCCCTGCTCCAGATTTCTCACCAAGCCTGAAGCTCCCAGATGCTCCGCTCCCTTTAACTTGTTTCAGTTCACCTTTCGCGACAGCCTTCTTGAGTGCGATGCGGAGTTGAGAGTTGATCTGCAACAAACCACACTTTAGAGTTAAAATAAAACCCCCCTTGCCAAGACTGATAGTAAATTCACCTTAGTTACATTGTCTCCAAGCTTGTAGTGCGATAGTATGAACTTCAGAATAGCAGCCTTCGATGATCCTGATTTATCCTTCAACTCGGAGACTGCCCTGCGGATCATGGCGGAGTAGGTTGGATGAGACGGAGCCTTCTTGGCTGCTTTTGGCTTGGAAGCCTTCGCAACCTTGGGGGACGAACCAGGCGCAGCGGCTGACATAGTGATCAGACGAGTGCGAACAACGAGCTGGCGGCCGCCCGTCGCTGCGGCTTATCTACCACGCTGGGTTCCCCCTTTGCTCCCCCAGCAGCGTCGACCCTAGCGCGGATCTAAGTTGCCTGACGCTGTGTTGAGTGGCGCTTGAAAAAAGCTCTGTAAAAACGGCTTAAATGCATAATAACTCACGAAACTTGTGCATATAATATAAAGCATGACTATCTAAGAGAATAAAAGGTTTCCACTGCTGCATTGCTCTCTAAGAAGAGTTTATATGGGCCTGAATGCAAGGCGACAGGGTTGCGGCTTTGAAAAATGCTGGTTTTGTTGGAAAAATTCGCGTTATTTGGTGATTAAACAACAAGACAACCACTGAACACTTAAGAAAAAGCATTTTGCCACAGAATTGTGATAATGATTAGTTGCTGTTGAAACACTGTAGAAAGATTCTACGATGGAAATAGTTGACAGAGTACACGACCGGAAGGTTCGACATTGCAACAGTTCCGTTATCAGCCCTGAACCTGAAGGATTTTTCGTCTTAGACTGTTCCTCGGGTAATGTTCTATGAGATTAGAGTTTTCCGTAAGTATTAAATTAATATTTGACTGAAATTTTTCAGTATTTGCGTTCTGTCGAAGTCGGATGCTCACACCACGTGACCTTTTGTTGTGCGCCGAATACACTGTATGCAGTGAACTATACTTTTCCGGATTACTTTCATAGAAATCGCCTTGATTTGAATTCGTAAACAAATCTGCTTCACGAGTAGGCTGTGAAACAGGTTGCATCGCTAAGCTTTGAAGTCGAAATGAATTATCGACTATTAGAAAGTGGGTGTCGGTGTTCATGAAATTTGGCACTGAAAAACTCCAAGCATTGGGAACACTACAAAATAAATTATCTACTAGAATTTTGCATGAATTTATCATTTACATAGTATTAGAGCATTGTTGTCCTTAGGTCAATGTATATTTTATACCTCACAGCAATCGCAGCCATCTTGGAAGAATCGCAATCAGAACGAGGTAAACTTCTCTGTGATCCATAAGGTTCTAGGCTGATAGTGGAGAGAACTGGAAAACAGCTTACGATGGTTAATTCTGTAATCCTGCAAAAATGACTTTTGGCCACACTCAACATGTCGATGAGGAAAGAAATCCACGCATGCGACAACCAAACCCATAAACTACATGTGTACTTCTATAGATGGAGCTTGTAGAACAATGAATCGAATGGAGGAACTGCCGGTACTCACATAATTTGAACACCGATCAATCAAATGTTCAAGCAAGAGTGATTTCATGCTCAAAGTGGTACTTTAATTCTGTGCATCATCAATTGGTGCAGCTTCTACTTATTGTTGTGCTAAAGGACAAAAAGGAATAAAGCTTTCGGCATTGATCAATTCATGAGGTATGCGCCATGCATTCGACTTCATTAAGCATTCTTTCGAAGTTACTGAATGCATATCTGGCCTTTACAATGACTCGCAGTGGCCTACCGATGTGTGGGCCAGTGTTGCTCTCCTCCCAGACACGACTGGTACCAATCTTGTTGTGATATGCTACGCAATTATGTTGTCGTAAGTCAAACGTTATCAGCGTGCATCGCGCACTGTTTCGAAACGATGCTGGACAAACCGTTCTTTTTTCAAATACTGGTGGATTATTACATGGAAGCTGGAGAGTGCAAGACCCGCATTATTTGATTTTCCATGACGTACTCCTCTAACAGGTTCATGAGGCGCGCAAATTGTTTGGACAGATTAGATTTAAGGCTTACTTAATCGTTATGCTATGCATTTAGTGTTCATTTAAAACCTTGTGTTTCGACTAAAACTTCTACATGGATGAAAGATCTGTTCTCATCCGCTACATTCTTGCAACGGAAGATTTCGTTCACATGATAGAAGGCTTTCGATCAAAAGAAGGGAATTGTTTCCTGCTGTTTATTATTTGTTTTTCTCTTACAGGCTTACCTGCATCTACATTGAAAATAAAAGTGAAAGATTTCGTGGGATTTGGATAACCCTTGGAGTATTGACTATACATTTAAGTCCTCGGTGGCTTATTTGCCTATATTAGCACAAGCACGCGCACCCAGAACTTCAAGGGTCACGGCCTAGATATGAACTAGTAAAACTCGAGATTGAGTTTTTCACGAGAACCATCCACTCCACTGAAGATCCTCCACAAATGGAAAAGTTCTATGTTTCTGAACATGACATTTGCCATAGTCATCAAGATTTTTTTTTATGTAATCTAGATTACTAGCTGTGCATCACAGATGTCGCGTTATGTTAGAAATATATAGAACTCGGGTCTTCAGATTGTTTCCATCAAATTCTTCCAGATATCAAAAAGTAAACGAATTACCAGTCCTAGGCTGAAAATGAAATAGTGATGGATTTCAAGAAGAAACTTCAAGAAAACGGTATCATTCGGCCCACGTACAGTCTTGTCAAGCTGCGAGCTAAAGAGTCGATAACGCAGATTTCTAAACTTGTATTAGATCCTTAGAAACCATTTTCAACAGCGCTTTGGTCGTAGTAGATGTTCTTGAAGTAGATGTACGGTGTCTGGAAAAGTGGTAATCGATTGACGAGGAAACAATTTCTGAGGTGCCAAAAAAAGTGGTCTCGAAAATTATGTGCCGGTTATTGACCTCCCACCTAATAAATATCCTACCCCGTCAATTATTCCGCAATCGTCTTTATGGTCGTTTGTGCAGCTCAGGAAACTGTATGATCTGTCCTAACGGGAGAGACAGCGATTGCGTGATTTCAGGTACAAAATACCTGGTCTGGTGTAACTCATGCGATGAGGAATACATTGGGGAAGCGCGTAGACCGCTTTATGTCCGCATAAAAGAACACGTAGATGGGAAAGTCAAAATTCGTCAAAGCACTCCTCTAGGTACATATAGGGCCCAAAAGCACAGTGATGATGATTTTGAAGTGAATGTCCGGTCCTAGCGCAAGAATCGAAAACATCAGCGCGCAAAACTCTTGAGGCGTTTTGGATAAATTTCTAAAACCCAAAGATGAACCGGAAAGACAAATGCCTAACTGTCACACGTGACCTGGCGTCTTATTTCAAAATTTGACTCATGGATGGGTGTTGTTAGCTGTCCCACGTAAACAACAAGCGGGCAGTCCCACTCGTAAGAGCACGGTGAGTAGCCCTTTTGATCAAGATGACGTCTATTTATATGTTTGATCTTCATTTATACTATAGATATTTCACCGAATATAAGGCTGCTGTTACATACAATACGTACAGGCTATGAGGAAGGCCAAATCGCCGAAATGTCAGCCATCGATCAGCAACACCAACGACGACGACAACGACCACTTATACCAACCTCGCGTCACATCAACAAAATCAGTTCACGACCACATTAGAATAAATTTATCAACTATGCTCACTTTTTATTTTCTGCCTCTACAATTTTCACTGCAGGACAGCATGCGAAGTAAAAGTACAACGATGCTGAGATATTTGCAAAACTTCGGAGAGCAGGTGTCTCCAATGAGGAAAGAACGCACTATTACCTTTGCCGGGGGTTGTACTTCGCATAATACCCTGCCGTGAAAATTGTAGAGGCAGAAAATGAAAGGTAAAACATTGTGATTTCAACTACAGCCTCAGCTTAACTGGGTTCAATGCCGATGTGGGATTTATAGATCAATCTCGTTGACGGGTGATTGCTTATGGCACTCATCGATAGAAATAGCTGAGAGGCAGGCGAAACGGAGGACCCGCGCGGTGTGGTGGTGATGCAAACACCTGTGGTCCGGAGTTCTACAAATATCTCAGCATCGTTGTAGTTGTATATCAACTATTTATGCCAAGGATTCAAGAAAGTCGATGTTTTGAATTAGTAAGGAATAAGGACTGTTGAGGTGTGCATGACATATGAAGATGACGTAATTTCAATTTACTAAGTTTATCCACACTCACCAAGCCACTCCTCCGTCCCAAGTCGGAAAATTGGTGAAATATTTGTCTGAGAGTAGCCCATTTCCGTAAAGCCTAAGGCGAACACTCTAGCCCGGTTATCTCAGGTCTCCAAAGAAAATGGGCTCGAGCAGCATTCACCGACATTAATAAAAAAACGACAAATAATCAAGGAGAAGCCAAACCCATTCGAAGACCTTAGTGAGTAATGGATTCAAAGAGACGTATCAAATGGAAGCGGTACTGGGATCCGCACATTAGATGTGAAAGCATGCTATGCAAAGTGAATACATAAATAAAGGCTCATTTCCAAAATCAGCCATTCGCTTTACTTTCATGCATCTTATACATCTAATAGTACACTAAGCTTTTAATCGATTTCGCTTTAATGGCTGGTAAGTAAAAGTGTAAATTCCACTCTAAAGCTGATTATTATTCATTATCGTGTTTCGTTTTAAAGTCGCTTTCGCTAGCCTTTATCGAACAAACATATTTTCCTTAGTGCATAACCGGCACCAACACAATGAAGGCTGATGTTTCGCCTTTCTCACATCCTAAACCCACGATATGTAACAATAGCCACACAATTCGGTGAAATCCATAGTATTAATGAAGACCAAGTATATGAATAAACGCCTATTTTCCAAAAACTGCTTATCTCACTCCCCATCCCGTACTCCTTTCTCGAATTATAGGGCTATTGTTACATATGGTGCGTCCAGGATCTTAAGGAAGGTGAAGTTGCTGAAATGTCAGCCATCGAACAACAACAACAACAACAACAATAAGAGCATCTATACCAATCTTGTGTTAGCTTGCCTAACGATGTATCGAGCCAGGGCGACTATCCTCCCAGACAGGTCCGGCAGCAATTTGCTGACCTCAGAGGATGGAAAGCTTGGTGGGCCATGGGCGCTGGCATCGATTCCACGTGTGTTGCAGGGCGCCTCCCACCACTGCACCAAGCGCGCCCCATATATATATATATATATATATATATATATATATATATATATGTAGAGGTTTATTGATTATTTATGC